GCCTGCCTCTGCCTCCGAAGTGCTGGGATTAAAGGCGTGCGCCACCACTGCCCAGCTGCTTGTTTTTAAAGCTAGTCATGTATTAAACTCAGGTGCTGTATGCTAGCAGGTACTGTACCTCTGAGCTCGGAAGTCATGGAAAGAGATCTGGGGAAGCAGAAGGGAGGTGCCTTCCAGACTCCTTTTTACAAAATAAACATACCCAAGGCTGCACCAGGCTGGGTTATGGTAATGATTTTCGCAGTGGTCTGGGCACAGCACTGGACTTGACTCAGAAGGGCAGATCGATAAAAGATCTCAGGACTGAACAGATGCAGGAAGACAGGAAAACACAGAGCCTGGATGGCTCTTTAGTGACAGTGGGTAGACGACCACAGAGCTGGGAAGGACGCCAGCGTGAGACTTATAGGTAGAGCACAAACCGTTAAGGATTTGGGACTGTTTTAGGCTGGCAGTGAGCCATCATAATGTTTTTTAGCTTGGAAATAATTGACGTAAAGCAGTATTTTAGGGGAAAAATAAGAGCATTTCAGGAGTCGGGGAACGTCCAGAATCTTGAAAGATACACCAGCAGTTCCGTATGGGGTGAATTCGGTGGGAAGAGGTCCAGTGAAAAGGATTAATAACTGTTAAGATGAACATTGCTGCGTTCTATGTACAAGAAGGGGCCGTTCTGAGACCACAGTGGCGCAGGAATTGACCTCAATGACAGATTTGACTCAGTAGAAGAAAGAGCAGTGAGCGATGCTGAGAAGAGGAAGGTCAGACAAGGTGGGTCGGGGGTCATTCTTAAAGAAGCAACAGCTGGGCCAAGGGCTTCTGAGGTCATGGAGGAAAATGAGATTTAAAACTGGAAGAACTTTAGGAATTCAATTAATTGGAATTAATTGGAATTTTTAATTACGTTTAGTACTCATGTGCATGTATGCACAGAGCACATTCGGAGGCAGGAACAACTTGTGGATCAATCATCTCCTTCCACTCTGTGGGTTCCTGGGGATTGACCTCAGGTTATGGGGCTTGGTGGCAGGTGCCTTCACCTAATGAGCCATCTCCAGTTCTGAATTTATTTTTGAGACAAGATTGCACTAAGTAGCCCAGGCTGCATTGGACTCCCAAGTTTGGGGATTACGGGCATTAGCCAAAAGGCAGAACCAAGTGTGACTCTGCTTCTGGACAAGTTGCCAAATTGTAGGACACAGAGAAGTCAAAGCCGTCAGCCTCAGAACGCAGCACCTTCTGTGGGTCAAATATTTTCCTAATCCTTACACTTAAATGCTTGTCTTGTTTCCTAACTCAAATTTTCCAGATGAGCAGCATGCACATTGCTATTCTGTTTTCTTCTAATCTGTACCGTTTTGAGCTATGGAACTGATTTTCTTCAATTTATAAGACTCCTTAACCAATTGTTCTACAAATCTTCCCCAGGTAGCAGTGCAGCTCAGTGGTGGAGCACTTGCCTCGCATGAGTGAGGTCCCAGGCTCCATCCCCACTAGAATGAGTTCTATTTCTCTAGCTTCTCAGTTTGTGGTTTGTCTTCTTGCTACTCAGTCTTTATTCTCTAGGGGGTGCTGAGGGTGGAGTCTTGAACACGCTAGGCAAAGGCTTTACCCCTGAGCTACATCTCCTACTCTGATGGCTTTCGAAAATGATTAAAATGGGAAAAATAAATGACGGAAATGCCTAATCATCCATAAAATTTGAGAGAACACAGCCAGACATCATGGTACATACCTGTAATCGCAGCGCTCAGGAGGCTGGGCTTGAGCCACGAAACAGCTGAAAGAACAGTATGTTCAAGTAACATTTTCTGTTAGACTTCACAGTTGGCATGACTTAGTCATACTTGTCTCACCTATTTTCCCTTCTGTATTTGTGCTGACTTGTTTTAAAGAAAGTTCCACACCACGTGTAACTCTAAGCAGTGAGTCTAGAGGCATCAATCACATGGTGATGCCTCTGATCAAAACTGAAAATTTTTCTCATATCACCTAATAGATGATATTGGACATGCGGAGGTTTTAATAGTTTTTCTACGGGAAAACACAAATATACCATTGTCTAGCCTGGGATTATACTATCATGCCTTCTTATATGAGGTGGCCCAAGTATGATCTCATTACTGTCCAGGGAGCAGGCCCTTCTTCAGGATTCAGTTAGCCCTTTTCCATATCTGGGAGAGACACGAGACCTACTTTCTTCTGTAGCCCAGGCAGCTGCTTACCGAGTACAGCTCCAGTCACTCTGTCTCTGACACCTCCGTTGGAGAACGGCCATCACTCTAGAGAAGGAGTCTGTCTGCAGCTGGTATCACCAGCAACCACACCAGCACTTCCCTGGGGTTGGTGGGAATTCACACAGGAAGCTCCTCTTGTCCCTCAGGGAAGAGGGGGCAGAGTTGATTAGATTCAAGATGACTTGGGGGATGGGCTGAGGTTTTAATCCCTTCTTAAAATGAAGAAAACAAACACAAACTCATTTTTTTCTTTTTCTTCTGTGTGTGTGTGTGTGTGTGTGTGTGTGTGTGTGTGTGTGTGTGTGTGTTCTGTGACTCCCTTTACTCAGAACAAAAGAGTTTTGGGGTATCTCTTGATACTGGTTAACATGGCAAGAGACCCCACATCACTGGAATTAATGGGAAGACTGGAGCAGCCCTGGATAAGACACCAGTGAGGTAATGTCTGGTTTTTATTAAATATCCCAAGTAGATTACTCACTCTTGCTAGATAAGGGGTAAAGACCCTGTCATGTTTTAAACACAAATCCTGCTACAAACAGGGTCCCTGTGGGTTCTTATCCCATGGAGCCACCCTGATGCCAAGGCTGGTGACTTGGTTGGGTAAGTACTGGCCAGAGAGGAAGACCAGTTAGTTCTGTGATCTTTGCAAATTCCTTTTCATTAGGAACCCAGAGTATGATATGAGTCCCCCGAGAAGACCCATAGAAAGGTCCCTTTTCTCTGTCCCCAGGAGAAGGGCCAGTTGGAACAGCCAGGGAGCGCGCCCGGCCCACGGGGCTCTGCTTGGCAACGCTTGCCCTCTGGGCTTCTCCTTTTGTGCCCAGAGCAGTTTCTCCCATTCATGGCATCTTACAAGTTGCAAAGAGTTTCTTTGATGTTGGATCCTCACAAAAGCCTTGTAAACTACGCCAAGAACATGGAGGCTCACACCGACTAAGGCTTCAGGCTGGAACTCTAGCTGCATGCAGATCGGAAGCTCAGGGCTGTTCTACAACCACTGAAAAGAGGTCTACACCGTCCAATCTAGGGTAGCAAAGGCGTGGGGGGAGGGGGGCGGAATTGAGAAAACAACCAGTCGAATCTTCTGTAGAGAGATGTAGAGCATCAAGGGCATAAACGTAGGTATCGAGAGCCTCCCTACCCCAAGATGTCATCCCACATACTCCCCGGCTCTGTGGTGGGGCTCTGGAAGCCCCATTTCACATTTCATTCCTGGCAGATCTCCTGGCAGTGGTGGCAGACCCATGCGTGGGGATCAGTCACTGGCACAGACCCCGGGGCCTCCTGCCTGCACTTGGTAGACTCCACCTTGCTATTCTCTTGCTAGCCAGCCTTAGTCTGGTGGCGAACTCTGCACCTGAGCTTCCTCACCCCTTGCCAAGAAGTCTCCAGGACACGTGAAAGCAGCCTGGGAGATTGAGCAAGCATCAAGGGGCTCACCCCCTCTTTACCCAGCTTAGTTATAAGCTCTGGCTGTGTGCCGGGTTAGTCTTGCCGAGCTCCCAAGACACAGGAGGGCTAATAGGAGCCTGCTGCACAGCCGGGAGGGACATGGTTCTTTCTCAGAAATGCCTGTGTTCCTCATATCTGATGGCATCATCTATCCCCCAGGAGCAAAGCACACTTCTCTGTACCTTTTTTTTTTTCTGCTTTGGTCTCTAAGCTTTTTTTGTTTGTTTGTTTGTTTGTTTTTTGTTTTTTGTTTTTTGTTTTTCGAGACAGGGTTTCTCTGTGTAGCTTTGCGCCTTTCCTGGAACTCACTTGGTAGCCCAGGCTGGCCTCAAACTCAGAGATCCGCCTGGCTCTGCCTCCCAAGTGCTGGGATTAAAGGCGTGCGCCACCACCGCCCGGCATGAGTGTTTTAAAAAAATAAAAATAAATAAATAAAAAAAATAGTTAGAGTAAGTAAAAGGGGACAAAGTCCTAGCGGCTATTGTCAGTCAGACCCAAGTGCCTGACCTTGTTCCTCATCTCTCAGTCATCAGTGCGATGCACCCAAGGGATGGAGAAGTCAAGCTGTAACTGTGATTACCTGGAATGTTACGACTTACAGTTTACAATGTCTTTTAAAATCTGCAACTACATTGAAGATGTTATTTCTTCCGATTCTCACAATAAAACTGTGTCTGGGACAAAGGAGATGTAAACACTGGTTCTGGGTCCTCCCTCCCAATGAGGCTGGAATGTGGAAACGCTACTGTTTCTACAGAGGAGCAAGCCGGGGTCATGGGTATTCAAAATTCCAAATAAATACATTGCAGCTGACCCGAGACTCAGATACGGCTTTCCTGTCGTTCTTTGGAATCCTGGGGTCCTGGGATGTGAATGTGGCCGCCAGGCCTCTTCAGTGCTTTCCCCGGCTAGTCCTGCTATACCCCAGCTTCTCAAGCGTCTTGAGAACGCCCCACCCTCATTATTCATGGACTCGGTGCTAAGCATTTTAAATCCATCAACTAATGTGTTCCTCATAAAACACGGAGGTAGGGATCTGCATTTTTCCCGTTCTCGATGAGGAAACTGCAGTGGGCAGTGCTTAGGAGCTTGGTCCAAAGGGATGTCCTGTGAGCAGCAGAGGAAGGGAGGGGCTGAGCTCTCTCTGCCAGTGTGGCTGCTCCTGGGCCCTGAATCACTGCACCTCCATCTCCACATCTGTGCAAGTGCCTGCTTCTCAGACTTCAGTAAGTCCCTTGAAGGCGAGAACTTTTTTTTTTTTAAAAATCCTTATTCGTCAGCCCTAAGCCTGACATCTGGTACAGGGTAGAAGATCAGTAACTATCCACATCCACTGAAGAAATGCATGGGTGGCTAAGTGAGGAAGGAAGCTAAAAGAGATGGGTACCTGCTAAAGTTTACAATCCCAGAGCTGAGCTCAGGTTAGCTCAGTAGGCGAGCACTTGCTCGGCAAGGGGGCCATAGGTTCAAGCCCCAGCACTAAGTATGAAAAACAAAACAAACAAAAAAATCCCAGGGCTGAAGATGGAGCCTTGGTAGATGTCGCCCCAGAAGTTGGTGGAATACTTGCTTAGCAGGCAAGCAGTAGCATGTACCAATTGCTAGGTTCTGTCGCTGAGTGCTGCCACAGACGTTGCAGTTGTCGGGAGGTAGAAGCTGGGAGATCAGATGTTCAAGGCTAGTTTAGGTGCACACCTTTAATCCCAGCACTTGGGAGGCAGAGCCAGGTGGATCTCTGTGAGTTCAAGGCCAGCCTGGTCTACAGAGTGAGTTCTAGGACAACCAGAGCTGTTACATAGAGAAACCCTTTCTAGAAAAAAACCAACCCCCCCCCAAAAAAACCCACAAAACAAAACAAAACGAAACAAACAAAAACAAAAACAACAACAAAAACCCCAACAAACAAACAAATCCCTCCCCAAAACAAAGAAAAAGCTCAGAGCTTAATCGATGAAGTCTTTCTTCTGATTCTACTTAGGACATAAAACAACAACAAAAACAGATCCTAGGTTCCACTTGTGATTGGTTCCCCCACAGAGCTAGTCCCGGTGCTTGAGGACCAGGGCGGGGCAGGAAGTCCACCTGAGCTGTCTTCAGGCTCTGGAGCTACAATTCTGGGTCAGAGTTTAGAACAGCAAGTGCCCCCACCGAAACTGGAAATGAGACCCACAGCTTCTGTGCCGAGCTAGAATCAATGCTGAGGACTTCCCAGATCCCCTGAGGGACCAGCTGCTCAGTCTGGGACAAACCCAAAGCACATGCCCACAAAGGGCTGCAAACTGCAAATTGAGATCTAATATGAGCCATCTGGTCTGCTGAAATGGCCAACAGGAGGGACAGGGCCTGGAACCTTCCCAGAAGTGGGAAGTGATGACTCAGCTCAGAGAACAAAAGCTTCCGAGGAAACCCTTTGGAACAGGCCTCACGCAACCTTCCTGGGCAGCCAGAATTGGAGGGCGCTATCTAAAGGTGACCCCAGATGCAGAGTTGTAAAACTCGGGGTCCCTGAGCATGACTGTGGGTTAGGTAAATCTACGTTGCTTTGGAGAAGGAAACCCGTGGAGTTCAAGAACCATTCCAGCAGGCCGGTGGGAAGACTCCATGGGTAAGGGCACTTGCTGCCAAGCCTAATGACCCGAGTTTGACCCCTGGGACCCCCATGGTGGAAGGAGAGAACCAACTCCAGCAAGCTGTTCTCTGACCTTCATGTGTGTGGCATGACACCTGTGTACATGGACACACAAATACATTTTGAAAAAAGAATTTTTTTTAATAGAATCATTCTGCAGCCATCTAAGGAATGATGGGAAACTTCAGACTGGCTAGGGGCCGACAGCTTCACCTCACACGGGGACACTTTAGCCTTGGTGCGGGAGAAGAGCTTTCTGGTGTCTTCTAGACAGAGTCACTATTGCATGGGAGGCGTGTGGAGGGGGGGAGCAACCAATTACCAGGTCTAATTATCTGCCTCCAGCCACTTTCCTGGCAGCAATGGTCAAGGCTCTTGCCAAAACTCTGCGTCACCAAAACCTGGATCCAAAGAGGCCCAAGTCACAAGGGGAAGGCCCTGCATCCCAGAGCAGTCAGAAGGCTTCCCAACACCAAGACAGGGCACCAGAGGCCAACTCTGTGAGCTTCAGAGCAGCTCTACCCCGAGCTCGTCTAGTCCCGGCAAGTGCACGGAGAGAGACGGCGGTGCCAGCCTCTTGGAATGGCACCAGAAGATGACACAGCGTGATCAACACCCTTGCCCTGGCCCCCGTCACCGCACCCTAGGAAGTGAGAAGGCATCTGGAAGGCCTGTTTGTGCTTGTGGCGAGAGTTCCTTGGTCAGGGCTTGCTCAGAGCTGAGGCAGTGTGAGCCTCACAGCTGAGCGCAGCTGGAGCTGGGCCAGGGGCTGGCAGGGGCAAGCCAGTGTTCTCAGAGCCCCTTGGGGTGACCCCCCACCTCCTTGTCTTTCCAAGTAGTTCTTCTGCCTCTGCTCACAGCTTAGCCTGAGACCCGTTTAACATCTTCTGCTGGGATGGGGGAACTCACGCTTGGAGGGTGCCCAGAGCTGCTGGGGTCTTTTTGACTGGTACAAAAAAAAAATGGTTCAACTCTAAAAACCCAGTTGCCTCAGGGGCCTGAACTTGCTGAGCAAGGTTGTGGGAGAAAACAAGGGACCGTCCTTCAGGGCTCCAATCTTGCAGCCCCAAGGAGAGTATGCTGGGAAGTTATAGAAACTGGCT